CTAATTCTTGTTCTATGTGACGTGTCCCTTCAAGATGTAGGCGATCATGGCTCTCTAAGTTTTCCTCTCTTTTGTAGACCTTAATAAATTTTGTAATCTATTCTAAACATTATTCTCCCATCCATTTACACAATCTCATTCTTCTTCTACTCTGTGATGTGTCTGTCAAGGACGTTGGCGATCATCGCTACCCATCACTTTCTGTCCTTTGTAGGTTTTAATAACTTTTTTTGTTGTCTCTCTTAAACCTTGTTCCGTCATCCATTTACTCAAGCAAGCTAGGTAGGTTATGCGTTGCTTTCCTCTGGCCATCTTACATTCAATCAGTCCTGTGAGTATCAAATTTTTCAAGCCCTCTTTCCTCGTTACGTGCCCGAGAATGTTCAACTATCTCTTCTTGATGCTATGTATGTGTCCCTTTTTTTCCATTTTCTCTAAAACTTATAGTATTCCATGGTATTCTCAGCATCATTCTTCAATAAACACATTTTCGAATGCGCCATGTTTCTTCATCTGTAAGGAGATTGTCCAACATTCACTGCCACATGGGAGTGCAACAGATTGCAACAGTAAAATACCTCAAAACAAACCAATTACATTTACATGTTTACATCTATATGCGTGCACCGTCATGGCTCTCCACAATTTCCTGTCGTTTTGTAGCTCTTAGTAAGTGAACCGTTTTGTTATCTCTCCAAATCCCTGTTCTGTCAACCATTTACGCAATTTCGTTAGACAGGCTATGCGTTGTTTTCCTGTGTCCCTGTTGCCTTCAATCTGTCTTGTGAATATTAAATTTTCCAAGCCTTCTTTCCTCATTATGGGCTTGAGAATTTTCAAATGTCTCTTTCTGATGCTAAAGTCTCTTTTTTGTTTACATTTTCTCTAAAACTTCATCGTTGCTCACATGTTCAGTCCATGGTATTCTCAGCTTCCTTCTGTAGAAGCACATCTTTTGCTTCAGATTTCTTCTTCACCTGTGAGGAGACTGTCCAACATACGCTTCCATATTTTTGTTTATTTTTTTTTACAGTAAGGTTTGCCCTGTACAAGGTCAGGGGGCCAGTCGACGTAGAGAGTTACGTTAAAGGTTATTTTATACGGATAGGAGGGGAAAATAACGGTTAATAGTAGACTTAAAAAGGTTAAGATTGTATTGATCTGGGTAACATCCTCCTGGAAGTCGGTTCTACAGAGCAGTGATTCGCGGGATGAAGCTGTTCGAGTGGAACTTATTTCTCACCGATGGAACACGGGGGGAATGTGGGTGGTTTGTTACAATGTAAGTGGCATAACGGGTCCTTGCCTGATGAAACCAAAGTATGTAGTTCATCCGAGCACTTTCCATGGAAGTAGCGACAAAGCAGCGAGAGACTCGCCACATCCCACTTGTGACAGAGAGGGTGGGGGCGTGGAAAATAATTCATCACCCACAAGGACGCGGAGTTGCTTTTGAACTCCAGTCAAAAAGAGGTCATCAAGACTGGAAAGTGAAGACTGGGTAGCTCCTGTTCATATATGGTAGTAGTATTCAATTTTCTTAATATGACTCTTGTAAAGTTAGAGAATAGCAGGTGGAGCCATGGAGCGGTACAGGGAGCCGGCCATTCTGTCTGCATCTTTAGCGTATAAAACTCGCCATGGCAGAGTGAACCAGTATATGCACTGGAAAATCTGTAACTTTTACGGGAAGGAAACTGCAATAAACTGGTATGGACTCTTAATATATTTTGTCTTTTTCTTATCTCTCTGTTTTTTTTTTTTTTGTTTTTTGTTTTTTTTTACAATAATATTCGCCCTTTACAAGGATCGGAATAGAGGCCACTCCAGGTAGAGGGTTAATTTAATGGGAAGTTTATACAAATAGGAGGGGAAGATAACTCTTAACTATGGACTTGAACAGATCGGGGAAACCTTCTCTTGGGAGTCTGTTCCACAGAGCAGTGATTCGCGGGATGAAGCTGTTCGAATGGAAGTTATTTCTCACCGATGGAACACGGAGGGGATGTGTGTGGTTTGCCACAATGTAAGTGGCATAACGGCTCCTTGTCTGATGAAACCAAAGTATGTAGTTCATCCGAGCACTTTCCATGGTAGTAGCGATAAAGTAACGTAAGACTAGCCACATTCCGCTTGTGACATAGAGGGTGGGGGCGTGGAAAATAATTCGTCGCCCACGAGGACGCGGAGATGCTTTCGAACTCTATCAAGACTGGAAAAAGAGTGCAACAGACAGATTTAACAGTAAAAAAAAAAAAAAAACTGAAAGCATACTAATTTGATTTACATGTTTACATCTATATGCGAGTACCTGTGAATACCTGCCACCTGGGTGTGCATGCACGTGTCTGCATAGATATTCAATTACCTGTCATTAATAAAAGCGTAGTCTTTAAATAAGACTGACTGCTTCATCAGACCCAATTAATTAATATGCGTACGTTTCTATGTGCTCATTTTCTTAACCGTTGTTTTTGGTGTGTCAGACCAAAGTCTGTTTTCAATCGGCGACCTCATTGTACTCTAGTCGCCATGTCAACGCTGTGGCAATGCCTCGTAAGGATGGCTCTAGTGATAGATGAGAGGGCTCTGGGCCATCACGAATCTTGAAATCGGTTAGGCTCGTCATCAAGAATTAACTGAACTTTCAGACACGACCAAGTAGGGTCATATATTTCAGCATTTATATTTGTTCGATCACTGTGTGTTTGTTTGTTTAGCGGCATATCAACACCTTATGGGTCATTTGATGCTGAAATTTAAATTTTCTTGGGAGCATTAGTAATTTCTTTTACAAAAAATTGTTGGTAATATTTATTTTTAAATTTTACACGAATGTATTGCTGGTGTTTTTTTGTTTTTTTTTTTTTTTTGTTTTTCACTACGAAAATATGTGGCTGGTATTTTTGCTATAAAATGTATTTTCATATGTTCATAGTGTTTTGATCCCAATTCGGTGGGGGTGTTCACTATTTGTCCATATTTTGGACTCTAACAGGTGCTACCAGACCGGGTCAGGGTAGACCTGGGAACAACAGGAATTAAGAGGTGATTCCACGCTCATCTAAATCTATCGATCAGAGGCCTTGCTGCCGGAGGTAGTTTATCGTCATACCCAGGTCGCTGTTCGATCAAACCAAGTTTGGCATGAGGTCATGTTCGATAAGGATCTGATGAAGATTGAACGCCTTAACAATTGTTTGCAATCGTCGCTTCACCACATGCCCTTGAAATTGATATAGTTCGCCAAGCAGCCATAGTAATGATACCGTCATCAACGACTTCTGCTATAGTTTGTACTCGTTGATTTTTCACCCAAGGAGTGCCTGATGACTGGAGATTAAATTACCGGAAGTCATAATAATAATAATAATAATAATAATAATAATAATAATAATGTGGCATCTAAAGACAAAACCATAATTATAACAGCAATACTCAGATTATTTTTGATTGCATGATATCTCATCTGTTTACATCTACTGATATATATATATATATATATATATATATATATATATATATATATATATATATATATATATATATATATAAAACTTGTCTCTTGAAGTCTGTGGTTAAGACTGAAAGGCAACTCGGACTACGCAAACCAAAAGCAAATAATAATAATGATAAATTGTACGCACAAGTACATCTATCTCACACATTACGAAGAGTTTTATATCTATGTAAAACGTGTGTGATCTTATTTTTTTTTCCAAAATGATCAGTAGAAAATGTCATGAAGCCATTTCTGAGGTTTGCACCCGGAAGGAAATGTGTATACAACAGAAATCAAAGGAAGAAATAATAATAATAATAATAATAATAATAATAATAATAATAATGATGATGATGATGATAATTTTACTCACATGTTAAGCCCACAGCTTGTGAAGGGTTTTATCTATGTAAAATATATGTGATCGTAGGTGATTTTCCCCTCAAAAAATGCATAGTGGTAAATCTCATGATGGCATTTCTGACCTTAGGTTTCTAGTTGAGATCCGGAAAGAAATGAGTATATACCAGAAAACAAATCAAATAATAATAATAATAATGTCTTACTTCTTTTCTTATATCTATATTGTTTATTCAACATATCATTATATAGAGACTATGAGTATATTTATTGCCGAAAACTGAACCAGTGTCTACCAGTACAGAAATTCTGTCTATATTTTCGATACGTTATAAAGAATTTGGATTTTTCTTTCTTTCTTTCTTGGGAGCTGCGGGGAGTGGGAGACTGTGAGAAAATCGATAACGATGCGAAGTAAGTCTCTTTTCTCGACCAGTATTATACTTGTAAAACCTTCAACACCTGTATAAATACTTAGAATAAATATCTATTCGCCTATACATTTTAGCGGCGTTCCGTTTGTAAATTTTCCTCGTTCGGTATTATTTCATTCGTTCTCGTAAAACGAATCGTTTTTTTTTTCCATTACCACTATTGAGGTGTTTACTGATTGTAGCCGGACAACCTTCATTCATTTCTTTAGGGAAATGTTCAAACCACTTTGGGATATGCTTCAGTTGATTCCACAGCGAGCCCGCTTTAAGGCTGTTGACTTTTCAAAATAACAGCAAAAGTGCAAACGCGCTCTTAATTGGCTTGTTTGAATTCAGCTGTGTGGGCAGCTGCCCATGTGAGCATATGTTTTCAGTCTGCTATCAAGTTCGTATGTAGGCTGATAATCTGAAATATAAAGTTGCTCGGTTTATTTACGATTGCTTATGGTTGAACGGACGTGTATCTTTTGACGGATGGGAAATTCCCTCTGAATGATAAAACCTAATTGAATATCTGATGGCCATTAATAAAAGCGACATTTTGTTTCTTTTTTTTTTTTTTTTTTATTTTCTTCGGCTGCCCTGAGACATCGTTAACGGTTATTGTTTGCTTCGGTTTCGAGTTAAACAAGCGGTTTATGGCATCTTTTTCGGCTGAGAAGTAATTCTCAACCGACTGATGTTGACGGGCAACAGGACTGTAC